GTTGGGTGGGGCGGGGCGATCCTTGTCTTAACCAAAAGATAAGATTTACAGACAGGAGACAGAAAGCGTTATGTAGCAAAAATATTTTAAGAGATTTAGGAAAAGCATATGCCACCAAGATTGGAGGCGGGCTGGTTCAAGGAGGAGTCCTGGTGCTCTTCGTCCCCCTTTCTCTGACACCCTCGCTTGGAGGTGGTCTTTTGATTGACTGACGGCTCTTGTGCCTGGAGTGCTTAGTCACGTTTAATCCCTTTGCATTGTACTTACCCGTGGTAATGCATAGAAAAGCCCAAAGAGGGAGCCTAAGTCGCAATGTTAATTATAATACAGTGAACACTGGGTCGTGTCTGGTTAAGTCCTTTCTGCTACTGCAGTTGTGGCCGTCGGGTTTTAACCAGGGCGTGCCGGTTTCTTGCTGGCACTCATTTAGAAGAAGTAAAGTCCCTTTGTGCTGGAGGCGGGCATAACACCATCTTCCGGACCCTCCTCCCTCTCCTCCACCTATCTGCCTGGTGCCCCAACTTACCCAACTACCTTACAGGCTGTTGTGGTGGCCCCAGTGAGAGGGGCGTGGCTTGGGCTGGCTTCAGTGGTGAAAGAAGTGCGAAGTATTTTGGAGATCAGACAGTGTATTAATTTGCTAGGGATGCCAAAACAAAGTACCACAGACTGTGTGGCTTGAACAACAGGAATTCATTCTCTCACGGTCCTGGAGGCCGGGAGTCCAAGGTCAAGGTGTGGGCAGGGTCAGTTGCTCCCCAGGCCTGTGAGGGCAGGACTGTTCCAGGCCTCTCTCCTTGGCTTACAGATGGCCATCCTCTCTTCCTGTGTCTTCACATCACCTTCCCTCTATGCATGTCTCTGTTTCCAAATGTACCTTTTTTATATGTACATTAGTATTGCATTACAGCCCTCCCTACTGACCTCATTTTAACTTGATTACCTCCGTAAGACCCTATCTCCAAATAAAGTGATGTTCCGAGGTGCTGGAGGCTAGGACTTCAGCATATGAATTTCATGGGGACACAGTTCAACCCATAACAAGGTTTGTCTCTGCGTCCAAGTTTTCCCTGTTTTTTTGTATATATATATATATATATATATATATATATATATATATATATATTTTGAAGTATAAATCAGTTTGCAGTGTTGTGTCAATTTCTGGTGTACAGCATCATACTTCGGGCATACATGAACATACATATATTTGTTTTCATATTCTTTTTCACCATAAGTTACTATGAGATATTGAATATAGTCCCCTGTGCTATACAGTTTAAATTTGTTATTTATCTATTTTGTATATATTAGTTAGTAATCTGCAAATCTTGAACTCCTGATTTATCCCTTTCTACCCCATTCCCCCGAGTAATGTCAGTTTGTTTTCTATGTCTGTGAGTCTGTTTCTATTTTGTAAATAATTTCGTTTGTCCTTTTTTTTTTTAAGATTCTGCAAATAAGTGATATCATATGGTGTTTTTCTTTCTCTTTCTGGCTTACTTTGCTAAAAATGACAAGTTTTCCCTTTTAGTGAGAAAACTAGTCATATTAGAGTAGGGTAGACTGGGAGAAGGGGCCAGTAGGGCCCATCCTACTCCAATATTACCTTATCTTAATGACATCTGCAGTGACCCTATTTCCAAATAAGGTCACATTCTGAGGTGCTGAGGTTAGCACTTTAACATCTAAATTGTTGGGGGAGGGGACGACAAAATTCAACCCATAACAGACAGGGATGAGTCCAAATGGCTTAGTTGAAGGGTGTGGATCAAGGGCAAGAGTCAAGGATGAAGTCAAGACTTTTGGTTGAGCAACTGTTGAACGGTGGTGCTATTTAATAAGGTGGGAAGAAGAAGATAGAGGAATGGAATCCAGGTGATGGTTCCCATCCCACTTTCCAGCTATTGGCTTATTAAGGGGCCTGGGCCCCAAACGGGCCATAAAGAGAGGTTTGCTGGAGGCTTTTAAGAAAGTTCTTGTTAGCATCAAGAGATCTCTGAGAGACCAGGGTTAGTCTCTCCAGTGAAACATGAATGGGAAATCATGTAGCCGAAACTGCTACTAGGAGGCATCCTATAATTATGAGTGGGTGCAGCCTTAGGCTAGCCGAATGAAGCAGGAGGAAGCACCTGGATTCCTGACCACATTATGGAGCCACAAGATCAATAGTCCTAGTAAATGTCCCTGTTGCTTAGCTATTTTAAGTTGGGATATCCTGTTTCTTGCAGGCAAGAGCATTCTTAAATGATACAGTGCTTTATCAGCTCCCATGGACTAGTTCTTTGATATCCTGGGGCCATGTTTGGTTTATTTCTGTGTCCATATCAGCACGGGTTTGTTGAGTGAATCAGTGGATGATGGCAGATCAGAGCATTTTGTGTATTAACACATGGAAACTTCATCATCGTTAGAAAAAGCTGTAATTGTTGATAATGTAGTCTGGCCTCACTCCGTACAATGAGCAAGGTAGTTATGGATCCAGAAGGAGAGAGAAAATGGGAGGAGAACAGATGTCACACAGGGAGAGGGTACTACCTCTCCCTGCCTTACCTCCTGCCATCAGCCTGTTTGCTTACGCCAGAAACCTGGCAGTCTGCTGTGTCCTCTTTTGCCATCGCCAACACCATCTCTCCCCAGACTTGGAGCCAATGACCCAGTTAGTCCTGTCCATTCTACATTCAAAACATATCTCAGATTTACCCCCTTCTTTCATCTCTGCCACCTGGTCCAGGCCACCATGACATGCAGAGTCTCCCAACAGGGTGCCACCTTCCTCCCTCGCCCGCCTCTAATCCACTTGCCACTCTGAAGCCAGAGGCTTCTCCTGAAAATGCAAGCCACACCATGTCCTCCCCTTGCTTAGAACCCAGCAACAGTTTCTCACTCTATCCCCCCCAAAAATTCAAGAACAATCAGCCTTATTATTATCACCTTTATGGTCCCACATCGCCTGCCCTTTTCAGCCCTTCCCATTCCATGCAGCCCACTCCTTTCTTTACAGTCCCATTTCATCCCCACTGGCCTTCCATTACCATGGACATGCCAAGCCATCCTCAGCTGTCTTGGCACATGCTGTTCCCTCTGCCTGGAGCACTTTCCCACCGTTTTTGAGAAGTTTTTAAATGGTGAAACATATTATGCTTACAAAAGAGTATATAAAAAGCATACAAAGATAGTTTAAAGTCTAGCACCCACCTAAGATTAAGAATAAGAATGAAAGAGAATAGAAAATCCTACAAATGCCCCTCTCCAATCATTTATTCCACCAGCCCCCAGAGGTGACCCCTGACCTGACATTTGAAATAATTATTTCTTGGCTGCTCTTTGTAGTTTTATAATCTATATATAATTCCCCTAAAGCCTTTTAATTTTGCTTATTTTTGCATTTTATATATGGAATCATACCATATGCATTCTTTTGTTTCTGGCTTATTTCCTTCAGTCTTATTTTTGGTAAGATTTTATTTTGTGTGCTTGCATGTAGCTATAGTTCATTCATGTTTGTGGCTGTCACATTTCATTTTATAACTTCCAAAGTGTGTTAATCCATTCTGCTGTCAATGGGCATCTGGGTTATTTCCTGTTTGGGACTGTTAAAAGCAATGCTATCATGGATGTTTGGATAGATGTATCCTAGGGCAAATGGGAAAGAGGAGTTTTTAAGAGGAAGTTTCTAGAAATGGATTTGCTGGGTTGTAGGTTAGGCTCATCCTCAACTTTGCAAGATAATGCAAACTGTTTTCCAAGATGATTGTACAAATTAAATTCACACCATAAATGTTCAAGAGCACACACTGCTGGTCACTGCGTACTTTTACCAGACTTTTCAGTCCTTAACCCACCTGGGGATTGTGTGAGTTCCCCACAAGTACTGGGAACTGCTCTGAGTTCTCGTATGACCTTCACGACAGCCCGCAGACATCAGTATCATCATTCCCAATTTGCAAATGAGCAAGTCAAAGTCCAGCTTGTTTAAATAACTAGAAAATCATGGTGCTGGGATTCAAGCCCAGGTCTGTGTGACCTGAACCTGTGCCCCTTCTGTCATGTTATAGTCTCGCTGTTGTTGGGGAAGTTTGTGGGCCCTTATTGGGTTGCTGTGGGTAACTGTGAGCATCTTGGGGATGGAAATCCTTTGGGGAATGTAGTACACCATAACCTCAGTCTTTGGGGCACATCAGAATCACTGAGTCCCACCCCAAACCCACTGACTCAGAATTGACAGCAGTGGGGGTCTAGTGAGTGTGGAGTAGACATCTCATTGTGGTTTTAACTTGTGTGTCCCTGTTGACTAATGATGGTGAGCACCATGTCATCAGCTTCCTGGTCATTTGAAATTTTTTTGAAGTCTGTTCAGGTCTTTCACTCATTTCTAATTGGGTTGTCTTCTTATTGACTTGTTAGAATTCTTTACATACTGCGAATACAAGTCCTTTGTATTGCAAACATGTTAGCTCAGTCTGTGGCTTGTCTTCATTTTTCTTGATGTCTTCTAAAGATCAGAACACTTTCATTTTGATGAAATCTAAATGAGCATTTTTTTCCTTTATGACTAGTGTTTTTGTGTGTCTTGAACCTTTATTTACCCCAGGGTGGCAAGTATTCTCTCTTATTTCCAATCACATTTCCAAGGTGATTCTGCTATGCACCAAAGTTGGACAGGTCCAGGAATAACAATTTCCCTGGATTCAGAGTCAGATCTGAGTTTGACTGAGGTTTGCCACTTAACTGAGCAAGTCACTGTCTCTCCGAGCCTTGGTTTCCCTTTCTGCAAAATGAAATAAAGATAGGGTCCAGCCACAAAATTTGTTAGAAGGATTCAATGAACTAAAGCTCAGACAGAACTTAGCAGAGTGCCTTGTAGGAAGAGGGCTGTTTTGTTTATATACTGGCTGGCTTCGAACACAGGACCAGACAGAAGGCATTCCTAATACTATACCTAACTCCTGGTTAGGTATTCCTAACACCTCATAACACGGTCTGTTGCTTGTTTTCAGTACATCAAGGCCTTTTACAGTGAGCCGTGGGAAAGAGGGCATGGACATCCGATAGACCAGGACAGTCTGACTCTGCTCTGGTCTGTGACTGTGTCCATATTCGCCATCGGTGGACTCATGGGGACACTAATGGTGAAGTTGATTGGAAAAGTTCTTGGGTGGTCAGTGGGGGCCGTCTGTTTGGGGATCCCCTCCGTCATGTTCATGATATGTCTGTGTAAGAGTCGGGATCCCAGCAGGCAACAGAGTTCCACCCACACAGTCCAACTGGAGAGATTTTAACGTTGGGAGGGCGAGGAGAGGAAACCGGGTACCAGAAGCCCAGGAGTGGGGAATCGGTGGGCGATGGGCTGACGAGCACGCGCTGAGGTTGTGGGGGCACTGAGCTATGTCAGAACCCTAGTGTCCACACAGAGAGGGAGCTGGGAAGAAATATCCTGGCTTCTCTCTCCTCCTGCCCTCCAGTCTGCTGCAGGTAACTCTCACAGGTTAAGCCCAAGTGGAAGCCAGAAAAGCCAGGAGTCTCTCTGGTGGGGAGGACCAGCCCTCAGGGCACAGAGCAGGGCAGGGAGAGAGGAGACGGTCAGGGTGCCGGGGCAAATGCAGAGCAGTCAGCACAGGGTCTTAGAGAAGTTTCCGTGGAAGTACCTAGAGTTCTGCTTCTCCAAAATCAGTTGCTTAGACAATCTTCCATTGTATGACTGGATGAGAACCTATTTAACCAGTTCCCTATTGATGGACATTTAGGTGATTTCAAATCCTCTGCATTACAAATCCGCTGCAGTGAGTATCAAAAGCTTCATATTGAAATTCCCCATCCAGGCCCTCTCCAGTCAGATCCATTTTACCTCTGAGCTTCATTCCCCACTTATTTTTTTTTACAGAAAGCCTTCTCTTAGATCTGATTGACTTATCAGAAAATCCGCCAAATATTTCTCCTGTGTCCTTGCTCACAGCGACGTCCTGGGGGACACTCTAATGGAGAAGCGATGACCGGGAGGGACCCAAACCAACTCCACAGACCTGGATGGTCTTGGGCATGGCATGCCTTCTACTTTGTCACCTTCACCAGAAAATTCATATTCCAAGTTGCCTGTGGTATCCAGGGAGTTTCTGTCTGGTGATGTTTCCTGTCTGGGCCTCTGACTCATTCAGTCATTCATTTACTCCCCAGGCGTTGACGGAGCGCCCGCTGGGCCTGGCGCTCCTCTCCACGCTGGGGACGCAGTGGTAAGCAGGACCGCCAGTCCCTGTGCCCGGCGCTCACATGCTGGAGGGTGGACGGGTACATCGTGGGACCCACAGGGTAGATAGTGGCAGCCCTGGGAGGAAAATGACACAGGCGGGAAGACAGCAAGGGCGACTTCAGACAGGGCTCGGGGAGACCGCGCGGGGCAGAGACCGGCATGAGCCACGGGCGAGAAGCAAGCGCGTGTTGGGGGAGTTGTGGGAAGACTCCAGTGGCCCTGAGGTGGGAGCGTGCTTGGCGAGACCAAGGAGGAGTGAGGAGGCCAGTGTGGCTGGAGCTTGGTGAGCCGGGGTGAGTGGGTGCAGACGAGGTGGAGGAGGACTTGTAGGCCACAGTGAGGACTGAGGATATGAGCTGAGTGTGACGGAAGCCGGGGAGGGTTGAGAGGAATGCGACATGAGCTGGTTATGTTTCAGCAAGATCCCTTCCTCCTTCCACGTGGAGAGCGTGGGTGAGGGGAGGGCAGGAGTGGAATAGGGGAGCCAGCCGTCCGGGGGAGAGGGCTCTGGGTGGGACACAGTGGCGGCGAGACGTGGCCTGACTCCGGCTGTAGGGGGGCCACCAAACCAACTCTGCCCTCTTTCTAAACACACGCATCTGTAGAGTGTTACTTTTAGGCATTTGTGGAAAGATTGCCTGCTTTTGTTAGAAACCCCTGGGTTTGGATCCCAGCCCTGCCATTTGCCAATTACTGACTTTTGATAAGTTACTGAATGGTTCTGAGCCTCAGTTTCCCCAACTGTAAAATGGGAGCAACCATATCTACTTCGAAGGGCTGTTAAAAGGCTGACACGAAGATATATATACACACACAAATGCAGACGTATGTATATAAACTGCCTAATGCTGCTGGAACCCAGTAAGAGCTTGTTAAGGGCTAGTTCCCCTCCTTGTCCGTCTCTTACAAACGGGGGGCACCAGGTGTCATTATCACTGCCGTGAAC